GCCTCGAGCAAAACCCGCACCACTTTCAAGTGGCCATTCTGAGCTGCAGCCATCAAGGCGGTTGCCCCGTCTTGCTTTGCAACATTCTTGTCAGCTCCTGCCTCGAGCAAAACCCGCACCACTTGCAAGTGGCCTTCCTGAACTGCAATCATCAAGGCGGTTGCCCCGTCTTGCATTGCAGCATTCTTGTCAGCTCCGGCATCGAGCAACACCCGCACCACTTCCAAGTCGCCATTGAAAGCTGCCATCATCAAGGCGGTTGCCCCATTTTGCATTGCAGCATTCTTGTCAGCTCCGGCATCGAGCAACACTCGCACCACTTGCAAGTGGCCATTCTGAGCTGCAGCCATCAAGGCAGTTGACCCATCTTGCTTTTCAGCATTCTTGTCAGCTCCAGCCTCAAGCAACAACCGTACCACTTCCAAATAGCCGTGTGCCGCCGCGGAAGACATGGGCAGCACAGGTGGAGGGCCCGTGCCTCTCCTATTGGGATCCAGTGGTTTCTGAAGCAACTGTTCAACTTCAACAACTCGATTGTTCTGACAGGCAAGGAGTAGCGCCTCCGAGTTGGCCTCCTCAGGTGCACAGAAGTCCAAGATTACCAACTGCAAACTTGGTAGCTTTTTGACAGGCATATCATCCTGTAGCTCGCCCATCTCCTCACTGAAGAGTCTTTGTCGAAATCTCGAGTATCCAACCTCTCCGGCGAGGAGCTTTTTCAGATCCTTTACAGATTGTCCACTCTTCACCATGCAGAGTAGATCCTCCTCATGAAGCTGGGAAACCGTGGCACCAGAGAGTGCTTGAATCTCCATGCCTCCCCCCCCGTCCAGGAAGTGACCACTTGAGCGAAAACCAGTGTCACAAATCAATCCAAATATATCCATACCCCCACCGACAGGCGCCCTGGTGCCCTCCATCAAACGCCCTGTCAATGGAAGGCACGCATACTGAGAATATCTAAGAATTCACACATTCATGTTGTCTTCAAGGAATAGATTCTAGTGAGGATGGCGATGATGAGGATAATCATGGTCGTGCTATACTTGAATCATGATTCTCCGAACCTCATATCATTCCCTCCGGAAAGGGCCCAAGGCCAAGACATCCGCAGCTGCGAGCCGCGACGGCCTTGGCGTCCGGCTGCCACGGCGGTGGGAAAAAGCCACCCGCCAAGGCGTCCCAGTCGAACCTGCAGCAGGATGGGATCGGACGACATACAACGCCAACGACCAGTCGAAAGACTTTGGATCGCCCCACCCTCCTAGGGCACAAAGTGATGAGGCGGAGGGTCTGTTTTCTGGCTGAAGCTGCTGGAGTGTTTTGGACCACAAGGTGTCAATTTGCCAAATGCTTGGGCATGTTTTGTGCCATCCTCAGTTACGTCACTTACGTGTCTCAGCATGCTGAAGCTTCATGGCGCCATGCTGCGTGCAACAGCGCCCTGAGCATCCTGCAGCTTGAACCACTGGTGCTTCTTGATCTCCTATGTGAGGAGAGTTGAGGGGACAAAGAAAGGGAACACACGCACGCACCGATTGTAGGTAAGCAGCAGTGCAGCAGTGTTTTTTGGCAGCAAAGGAGTGGCATTGTTATCGCAAATAGTTTTCTAAGAGGTAAAAGCGCGTCTCAGAAGCGTTTTGGCCCTTCTCTGACTTGAGAGAAGTGCAATGAGTGGATGAAAGTGGATCTCTTGGTGGTGACTTCCTGAAGGGTGCACACAGTGGACCTCATGAACACGCAAGGGTCCCGAACTCTGCAGTAAAGTTCATGCAATCTGCTCGATTTGGTGGAGCATGTGCCACACGCAAACCAAGCCAACACCCTTCAGCTATGACACCTTTTCCGGATCTTTTCCGCATCCCTCATGCCTAGTAACAAGAAGCTACTAGTAACAAGTGCATCGCTTCTAGTAACAAGTGCCTTACTAGTAGTAACAAGAAGCTATTATTTCCACCCCGACTCAACACCATCTGGGCGTTGGTGGTGCCCTCCTTCCAGCATTTTCCACCGCCGTCCTGGACGGATTCCTTGCTCCTAATTAGTAGCGATGGCCACCCAAAAGCCTTCTTGTTACTAGTAATGGCCTCCAACCTAATAGCGATGGCCTCCACCGAGCGTGGCACTCCTTGGCACCGAAGGACCCCAGTCGCCGCTCGGGGCGCCGCTCCAGGAGCCCCGCGAGGACCTGCAGGAGCGGACACCGGATGCCGCGGAGGGGCGGAGCGGACACCGGTTTTCAGACCGGTTCTCATCTCGTTTCTGAAAACGTGGGTTTCAAGATGTTTCAAGTGCTTTCAAGGTTGGAACACCTAGTGATTCCTCCGAAAAGATGGACAAAAAAAGACATAAACATGGTACCAAAGTAGGTAGGTGATCTTCCGAGTCGCGAAGCCTCCCCCTGAAATCCGAGAGTTGTTCTCTAAAGCGGCTATCCATCCGGCCCATCCGGCTAGGCTAGCCTTCCCGACCGGCAGATCCGGTTTCGCCTGCATGGCATCCTCGGGCACGTAGGCAGGGAAAGCGAGTGGAGCCTGGGGGTCCGAGAGGTGGGCGCCGACTCACCGAATCGCCGCACGGGACTCCAACGAGGTCGAGACATCGATGGAAGAGACATCGATGGCTGTTTGTTCAAGAACTTGATGCATCTAGAAGCTTGAAATACATGAGAAATGCTGTGGAAAATACCACACAAAGACAATGGAGGCGCCAAACACACCAGAGGCGGCGGCAGGCTGCTCGTTGTTCCATGACATGACATATCAGTGTTGGTGGGGACCATGTTCAGGGCCACCCGATTACTATTTTTGTAAACCAACAATTTTGCCGGTCGCTCATGTAAGAACAGAACTGGGTTATGCAGCTTATGCAGTATGCTTCAAATTGCTTGGGCACTGCTTGAACAATACGAGGGAGATCCCAACAAATAAAACATGGGTGGAGTTTCCTTCTACTCACTGTGATAGAACGATATCTCGACACAAAATCACTTCTGTCTGCTGCCTCGCAAATGGCAGCAAAAAGCTTCATTTGATCCTGGCACGGCCGACAGGGATTGCACACATGTTTGTTGTTGAGTAGTCAGCAAAATTAAATGTATCTTCACACCAAGGTCAAAAAGAGGTTTTACACTATAGTACTTAATCAAAGTGAAGCGCTCGCACACACTTCTTGTCCAAAGAGCAAAATTGCTTATATAACCAGTCCAACAAAATCCTGTTCTTTGCTTGTTCAACAGGGATGTGCTTGGACGAGCAAGACCCAGAGTTTGATTGTCAAAATAACACGCCTTGCAATCCCTCAGCTGAAACATGTTGAAACTGGCCTTTGCTCTACAAACACAGCAGAACAATCTCAATCTTCCCGGATTCAATACGTTCCCCATTGATCCCCATTGTCTTTCACCCGATACTTAGCTGTTCACCTGAAACTTCACAGTTGCCCCAAGTTCAAGAACCATTTTCCCCACAACATCCACTAACTGTTTGTTTCCCTGCTTTCCGTCTAAAATGATATCATCCAGCGTAGTGCCCAGGCCAACGGCGCACCACGCAGGGCCTCCTCGCCGGCTCCAAAGGGGATGGGGCCCACAATGAACCTGAGCACCGCAGCAAAATGAGTTTTTTGGAATGAGAAGAGAACTGCAGCAGAAGGGACGCTACTAGGAGCAAAGGGCATTGCTACTAGGAGCAAGGACGCTACTAGTAGCTCCTGGCCTTACTACTATATAGGAGAAAAGGGCATCGATCGCTCCACGACTTCCTCCGATCGATCGCTCCGACTCCCTACGCGATTGGTCTTTCGCTGTGACGAAGAAAAGATTGGTCTGAGCGCTTCCTCTTCCCTTTTTCCGTTTTCCTTTCCCTCGCAGGCTTTGGCCGCATTCGCGATGCGCGGCATCTCGCGTGGGTAGCGTTTGCGATGGTCGCCGCATCGAAGCACCGGCAAAAGCGGCCAGTGCTTTTGGCCGTCCTTCGCCCTTTCACGTTCGGGTGAGTCAGTTTTCGGGTCTTTTCGGGTCTTTTCGGGTCGACGATGATCTTTTGCTTCGTCGACTTCGTCCTTCTCCTTTTCCATGTTGGTCTCGGCCCGATGCTTCTGCATTGGAATCCTCTTCTTCTACATCTTCAGCCGCTTGCACCCCGAATGGTACAGGGATCTCACACACAATAGGAGGGGATTGGGATTGCAGCCGCGCCTAGCTTTCCTGCAGAATTCCCTCAAAGCCCGCTTTGTTCAAGCTTGCCATAAAGGGACTAAGTACGTTGTTGGTCACATTTAAGGTCTTTCCATGCCTTTGAAAGGTTGCTGTACTCCAACACATTTAACACATATTGGATCATAATTAGTTTAGCGAACTTCCTTCTCCTCCATGTCTTTCTCCTCCACATCCGAGAAGCTCATAGAGCATGACACCCAAAGACCACCAGTCAATGCACTTGGTGTAGCCCTTGCCTTTGATCACCTGCCACAACTGCTCTGTATCAGCTCGGAAGGAAACAGCTCGAAAACACACCTGGAGAAGCTCATACAGACCCCCAAAGAATCGAACCGACTCTGTGTCAACAGGAACCACCGTTAAACACCGGGCGAGCAGAAAGGTTTCATGAGATGTCCCAAAAAGGAGTTCCAACAGACAGACCAAATCAGACCAACCTGTTTCAGAATCCATCTTATTTCAAGCAATCCTGCCCGGTTCTGCTGCTTCAGTAGAAGATACTTGATGAGACTTGCAGAAATCGCCTTGTGGCTGCTTCATCCGCACCAGTTCCGAAAGAAGATCCGAAGAAGAGCAGTGGATGTGTTGTTGCTTCCGCCCGGTGGGTTCCGGGATCGACCCCCTCCCCCCAACCTCAGGAGCCAAGTACTCCGGAGTTCCCACCAAGGTGGAGGCACGGATCTCCTGGCGACATGGGGACATCGGTACGGTCAACCGGGGGACGGACCGAGCGCCATCGCACCGGGGGGCCTTCTACCCCGGATGTCAACCTTCCACCCACCGATGGGGAGCATGCATTGGCATGTGAGGTGAAATGACCCACTGAAAATGGTGTGTACATGGTCTCTGTTCACTCATGCCGACTGAGCTAAGCTAAGACTGAGCGGATAGCCTTACCGGTCTGGCTCTGCCTTATTTCATCTGTGCCAACCGGTCGGACGGTCCTTCTTGCAGCAACCGAAGTCCACCAACTTGGCACGCCCGGCGAAGTCCAAAAGGACCTCGGCCGCTCGGGTGTCGAGCAGCTGCGTAGCTGACAACGGCTGGATTCCTGATTCCTGATTCCTGTACGATATAGATCTGTGAACTAGTGACATCACTCTCGCTCTGGTTCTCTCACTCTCTCTCGCTCTCGCGTTTGCTCTCTCTCTCTCTCTCACTGTGTGTTCGACAACCAGAAACGATAACTGTCATGATGAAACTGCAACTTCGGTCACTGCAATTGAAAACAGACTCTTGCCATTCAAGCTTGGGCATGCGCGCGCAATGCTCGCGCACGTGTGACATGGCTGCGGCATCTGTTTCGCTTGAGTGCCCCAGCATTTTCCGGCTTCAAGTCGCGGTACATGATGCCACGGCCATGCAAGTACTCAATACCTAGGTCGACTCAACGCCCTCACCGCCGGGTCCAAAGGACTGAGCGTTGTGATGTTCAAAGGATGCAACCAAGCGACCGACCGACCGATCGACCCACCACCAAAGGAGGATCAGTAAACGAACACCCACAAGTGTGGTGGAGGGGCTGACCTGGAAATGCTAAGACAATCCAATCCAATGCTCAAATCATCTTAAATCCATCACTTGATCCCCCAAGACCCTAAACTTGAAGTGATCCCAAATGATGTTTGTTGTATCGAAAAGAATTCATAAGGACTGCCTTGGCCTAGCCACATCACTGCCAAAAGACACAGCGGGGCCCCAGCCCGTGGCTAAAGCATGAAGCTTAGCCGAAGGACCTAACGCGATCGATCCGGAGAAGAATTGGCACTGCAGCTTCGTGAGGGCCTCGGTCGTTGGTGCGCTTGTCGCACCAGAAGGCTGAAAAGGGGGTCTTCTGGTTGATGAAGCCAATCGGATGAAACACCCGCTTGAGATGTGTGGCCTTTTGCCTGGGTCGAACACACTCCGTTGAAACATGGGACGGCTCAAACTAAGATAGCTTCTGGCTTATGATAGCTTTCACCCGGTGGAGGAAGATAGGCTTCGAAACCCTCCTGCTTGTTAGGGAAGTGTACTCAAAATCACCAGTTCAAACAGAAACTCCCAAGCAATGAGCCAACAGTAGAAGGATGGATAAACAAAATCCTAAAGAAATAACGCTGCCATCATCTGCACGCTGGATATCGCACTGAGATGTCGAGGAAAAACGCTGGACAGAGTCCCGAAAGAGTTGGACAGAGTCTGCACAAGGTTGGGTCCGCATCACAGTCCTATTTCCTTGGTGTTCAAAGTCACGCACGATGCCTTGGTTGACCTAGCTCACAAAGCAAGAAGAATGGTCAGTTTTAAATTCCACAAAATGAATGATCAGCTCAACTGCCCAATCTCCCACGTTTGGGTACTATTGTTTCTTGGTTGTCTCAATTTCAGGAAGACACGCGGGTCTGTGTCTCGGCGCTCAACAGGCGCTGGTCATCACCTGGGGCTTCGACCCCGATGAGGCGGATCGCATAGAACAAGTCCCCACCACCTGGGCCCGTCGGAACGGCGGAGGAGCCGGATTCCATCCGTTTCCGTGGCCGGAACCGGGGCGGAGGAGCCGGATTGCCCTTGGCGGAACGGTCTTCTTCGGGCGTTGCTCCCAAGACTTCCAGCAAAGAGATGTGGAACATGGCCATCTCCTGCGTCGCAATATCAGACCGACTGGTCGGTTTTGGAGGGATTTGAAGTACCGGACGTTCGGACGTAGATGGCATGGCGTTTCATGTTTCGAGGGATCTTGAGAAAATCCGTCCAGCCAGAAATTCTCAGCTTCAGTCAAGGATCCCAAGAATTCCGTCAGGAAGTAGACGTTGTATTTGTCCTCAAGCCCAGAGCACTGGCGCACGGGAAGAGAGGTGGGCTGGCCCGTAAACATACACAGACTGTTTGCTTTGCGTTCGGCTCAATCAAACTGCGAAGAGATGGCCTGTTGTAATTTGATGTTCCGGGGTGATGGTAGGGTCTGTTTCTTGGTCGAAGGCGGGCATTCTGTTGATTCCGGGATCAAAGGAACATGTGATTCGAAGCTGATACTGACTGTCTTGGTCTAAGTGTCTAAGCGCCTTTGCTAGTCAGGATGTTTGTCTTCAGGCCGGGTTACTTGTATGCACAGTCTAGTACACACAGGGCAAGCCAACGTCCTGGAAGGTCTTGATGAACTGTACAATGCAGGGGTGGTAGCATTGCATGTTCACCTGACCACGGAGACAGTCAGAATCTGCCTGTCCAACAACCACCAGGATGTTGAAGACCCGTGAGTGAGCGAGTCAAAAGGAACTAACAACTTCACCGCTTCTTCCTTAGGCGTTTGCCTCCCAGTAGGCCCGACCTCGTCGGCATCCCCCATCTGCTTCCGACCCGCCCTGCCGGCCGACGGCACCTCGCGTTCCATGACAATGGCGCGTTCCTGGCGGCCCTTCACCACCTGGCACAACCGGACGTCCAAGAGTACGAATCGATCGATCGGTGTGCTGAAATAGATTTTGACAGATGCATGAGATCCACCCAACGCACATGGTAAACGATCGATGCGTCGATCCAAGTGTCTGGCAATTAAGACGACACATCGTCTTGGAACCACCAATGGTAAACGCTTGAGATCGCCCGACTTGCCTGGGCCTTCTTCACACATTTCAGTGCATACTCTGGGGCATCCTGACCAAAATCACGGGGCTGAGGATATCAGAAAACCAGCGATGAAAAATCATTGAAGGCACGAGTAGGCACGGTCAAACCCGCTTTCATCCACTTTCACATCTTCAATCTCAACTGGAGAGCACCATCCTATGGCATGATGATGCCGCGGCAGGGCGGGACCCGCCCAGCTCCCAGGTTCCCTTCATCCAACGTTTGGGTACAAAAACACCGTGTGTCAAAAACACCGACAGCTGGTCGCACCACCCAAATTTTGAACAGGTCGCTGCGGTGGACAAAAACACGAAGAAACTCGCGAATCGGTGGCTGCGGTCGCTGAAGTCTCGCTTGAAATGCTGGAAAGCTGGCAAGACGGCAACGAGGGGAGTTCACCAAGCAGATTCATCAAGGCGGAGCATCTGTGTGACCCGGGGTTCGCTCCAGATGACTCCACCAAATCATGGGTTTCTTTGACATGAGTCGAGGATCATAAAAAGACTTCCAAGGAAATTGTGTCAAGAAGAAGAGCAAGAAGAAGAAGAAGAGGAAGAAGAGGAAGAAGAGGAAGAAGAGGAAGAGGAAGAACCACAACAGCAACAACAGTTTGCCCGAGCTGCCGCCCTTCAGTGTCTGGTCCTCAGGTCCCACACGGAGCCTTCTTCCCCTTGGGCGTGACCAGGCGCACCACGCCGAAGGTGCCACGGCCCACCACGGCTTTGCACTGGAGTCCGAGCGGGGCCGATCTCCGAGCTGGACCCGACCGAGTGGGTTTTTTGGGGGGACGAAAGCGTCGCAAAGCAACCAAAAACGATCAGAAAGCTCTGGATCGTTCTGATCCTACTTCGGCACCGTGACGTCGCCCCTACCAGTCACAACCCAGGTACGCCCAGCTGAGCTCCTCAGTGGCGCCCAGTGAGCGAAAAAACACGCCGAAAGACCGGGCCTGGAGGTCTGAGATGGAGAGGTTCAAGTCCTTTCAATGCGAAGGTCTGAGACACTTTGGCAAGGGCACTTGAGAGAGGAAGGGGTGAACGAAAGGTAGCAGGCAATCACAAGCAACCCTGGTAAAAGTCCATGACGGCGTGAACCGGCGCAGGGGGGATTTGATCCAGGGGGGGGGGCCCCCCCCCGCGACGAACAGAATCAACTCTTACAGGACCAAACTCAATGCACAATCCCAACTCCTGATTGTAATACATGTTTGCTAAAGCAAGGAGAACTCAGGTAGCTCAAGCTACCTTTCGTGATATGCACAGGGAAAATTCCATTAGAGACCTTCACAGAGTTGGGCTGTGTATGTCACCCTCAAACAAATCAGAGGTATCTCTGTATCCTATCATATCCTCTCCCATATCACCAATGATCACCAATGCGTATATTAAATATATATATATATATATTGTCGTAGTTATGTCCTTTCAAAGAAGCAAAGCAAGCCACAGTTCGACGACCAACCCACGTGGTTCTTTTGTGTGCCTGCAGTTGCATCCGCCGTTCCAGCTCGTCCCGGAAGTGGCCGACGATCTGAAAGAATTCCTGTCCATGTACAGCAGGACCCCCAAATAAACTCTTCCCCAAAAGGACATGGGAATGGAATTCTGGTTTGGGCAGTGGCCCTATCTGCTTGATGTTTCGCGAGGAAATTGAAGTGCTTCAGGATAGCAACTTCTTTCGCGCGGTGGAGTTGTTCAACTGGAAACTGAATTTGTTGTGAGTGTGTACATGAAATCTTGGAAGGTTTGGAGGAACCAAAGCAGTACCAAGAGCAACAAGTAAGAGTAGCAGGGGTGGGAGTAGGGGCAAGGAAGTAGGAGGAGCTGGGGTTGGAGGTGCTAGCTGACTACGTGCACCAAGGCGTAGTCCTTATTCCAGACAACATAGGACGGTGATTGATGACCTTGCAGATGGATGGCAAGTTTCCCTCCTCACTTGCCTAGGGAAGTTGTGCTAGCTTAGCTCCTTGATTTGATCAACACATTTACCATGCGGTCCCTTGGCATAGCATTGCTGTACATGGTTGCGCTCAGGCCCAGTCAACCGATTGCTTGTTTGGGGCCCTCCCAGAGAATGACCACCAGTGCTATCCCTCCCGCTCGCGAGTTGGTAGCAACTTGGGCGCCCACATCAGCATCGAGGACCAAGCAAATGCACTCATCAAGGGCCTCCCACATCAAGCAGCAGTCAAAAAAAGGGATATCAGAGGCAAATCACTGTATATTCTCTGTCTCCAAGGACAAGTTCTCTTTTTTGTAGTTAAAGCCTGCAGCTCTTTCTATCGAATTGGAAGAGGGAGACGTGGGTGGACCACTTGCGGGAAAGACTCACACCAAAACGCAGTCGTTTGCCTCGGCGGAACGTGCGAAGTAAAAAGATGTCCACTGGTCCACTGACTCCCGAGCCGGGAGTCACTGGACTTTTTTCAGGTCAGCCTTTTTCCACCTCTTCCACCACTCCGGGTGTCCCCAGTCACCCAGTCAAGAACCTGCTGGTGATCCACGTACTGAAAACGTACTTCCTTCACATATGGAGAAACAAAAACAACAGCGGTTAGAAAATGTTAGAACCAACAGAACAGTGGTTGCCAGATGCTTTGCCGTAGCAAGCGGATGGACCCAATCATGGTCGCTTTGCTTTTTGTCACCGAACGCTATTCATCGTCCTTCGAAGGAGGGCGCCATCGCTTCTTGTCCATGCGACAATCTGCCAGTCTGCTGCATCCTCACCCAGTAAGATCCGCTTGAAGGTCCATTTGTGCAAGCGTCGAACTTCCCACCAAACACTTTCGTCCTTCAAAGAGGTGTACTTCTCGGTGACGCGGAGCAAGGGTGTGACAAAAACAGCTTCGAAACCTTGGTCATCCTCCTTTGCCATGGCGTGAAATATGCCGAGATAGTACACCTCTACGAGCTCATATTTCAAGCCCTCAGTGAGGTGTGCATGACTGCTTCGAAGATCCTCCAGCAACTTCTCATCCAAGAGCTGGCGCAGTAAAAGGAAGTCCCCTTCGTCCAACAAGCTATTCACAGACTTGAATGCGGTCACTGTCCCTTCTCGAAAATCACGCGCACTCCAGGTCTCTGGGTAGACCAAATCCAAAATCCTGAGCTTCAGGGAGCTCAGCAAGTGTCGCACATTGATCGTGAGCAGGTCCGCCGTTCCCGCCAGACTTCTGTGCACCTGTGGCACCTGTGGCTGCTGCCCTTTGAATCGAAGCTGCTGGAGCAAACTTCGTGACGCTTGGACCAGTGGCACCGCAGCCGCACCGCGTCGAGCAAGCATTGTCAGGCCAAAAGAGGCCGGTTGCAACGCTAACTCGATGAATGGCGAACGTGAATTACATCTTGACCTCCTACAAATGTCATCGGCACTCCAAGAAAAATGGCTGGTCAAGTTACAGGTTGATTGAACACCTTTGAGTGAAGACAAAACATCTACTAACCTATTGAGAGGCCTTCAAAGTACAAACCTGTATCTACCAACAGGATCCAACAGGCATCTATGATCTCCTTTTCAGAAATATGTGCTCCAAACCCAAGTTGTGCACAGATGTTTGCACCCAACCCATCCATGGAGGCATATGGAGGCTATGCTCAATACATCTCAATACGCCCGAAACCACCTGTAGGCCGGAGATGGCTGGAGGGAGCACCGCTGAATTCCAAGGTGCCGAAACCACCCCATGCGGACTGACGTCGGCGCCTGACACGTTGCTGAGCGTCGTTCCTAAGGGTTGCAGCGGCCCCGGGCAGTGGGGGGTGAAAGGCTCATCATCGGCCTGTTCAAGTGAGTGAAAGTATCTAAATCAGTGGTCGGGGGAATTGATGTGGAGTGGTCAGGTCCGAGTCCGCATACATCCGCAGTGCTTCCGTGATCTCAAGGGCTGATGCTGGCTGGTGCTTCACCTCTACTCTGCCAGTACCCGTCTGTATCACGAGCCGACTAGACGTAGACGTAGAGGGTTCACTCACCGCAGGTGTTTACCAGTAGCAGCCTCGCTCTTTGCGTGTTTGGGCACAGTGATTCAACAGCATTCTCTCTTTGGGAACCTCAGCGGAGTCGCAGGACAACCCCTTTCAACCGCGACTCCTCGGTGCAAGGTCGAGGTCCACGTTCGCCCACCGGCCGGGCGCTCACCCCCTCCACGGGAGCCCAGGTTCTTTCAGCAAAAGACCTCGTTCGCCAAAGTAGTCCCACCTGCGAACGGGGGCGGGGCACGGGAACGCCGAAGGAAGGCCTGCTGGGAAGTGTCGGAGAGATCCGGCACCCTTTTTGAAGAAGAGTCAGGAATTTCCACTAGATAGGAGTAGGAGATATCCGGAGACATATTATATGTACAGTGTACAGTACATTTCAGAGATAGCCTGTTTCTGACATCAAGGTAAGTGCACTTCATAAGTGAAATACGCATGAATGATCCTGCTAGGAGAACTGGGTGTGCATTGAATCTCGGGCTCACTTTAGCTCTTGATAAGCTGAAGCTTTCATGGATTTTGATACACATTTGTGCACATTTGCTGCTGCCCCTCACTTCAGCAAACACATGCAATGCAAAGGGGTGGACTTTTCTCAGTCACAGCCCCCCACCCATGAAATGCCTGGGAGCTTTGGAGTGCCACGGAAGGCACCAACACTCCAATTGCAGAACACCCCAAATTTCCAAACAGTGTATATATTATATAGTATATATAGACCCTTGATTCTCTTGATCAATAGAACCCTCATGAATCATGATGAATCATGATGATTCATGATGAATCATCAAGAGGCTTTACAATCCAAAAAGTTTCATCGAGGAGAGTTACAAACAACATCAAATGCCTCCCACGCCTGCCCAGCGTGCGGAGCACCTTGCCATCCTTGCGCACCTGGACGGAGCAACCGCTCTCAGCGTCCATGAGCGTCGAGAGCCTCTCGACGCTCCTGGACTTCAGGTCCACTGCGTGGTGGAGAGGATGCACCGTTCAGGAGTCATCAACATGGTTCCGTGGATGGCACCACCGGTTCGGTGTTCGGATTTCGTGATCATCAAAGGGGGTAGTAGTAGTAGTAGTAGTA